CTTGATTCTGTATGGTACTGTAATGGTGGATTCATGTTGTTAAACGTTTTTCAAAACCCAGTGCATGGTCCAGCTGGCATGACTCAGTTGCTTCAGCGCCAGCTTGTGAACCAGGAGGTCACAGTTGGATTTCCTGGTCAGGGCACATGCACAGGTGGCAGGCTCCATCCCCAATAGGGTGTGTGCAGGAGGCAGTTGATCAATGATTCTCTCTCATCACTGATGTTTCTGTTTCTCTCCCTCTTCCTTTCTCTCTGAAAGCAATAAAAACTTTTTTTTAAAAAAAAAAAAAGATGTTTGCCACCAGCATATGTTTAAAATGGAATTAAATCAGTGGTATGACACAAGAAATCCTATAGCTGCTTCTGTCAGTCATACCAATCAACTGTTTAACAACTTCTTTTCTCTAAAGAAATGAAGTAATACATCAGCAATATAATTTCAATAACTTCCAAAAATTACTCTTAAATTTCTTCCTTTGGACTTGAAACGATGTTTACACAAAATTTATTCAATCAGCGTATTCAGAGGTAATTTATTCCTTTTAGCTCCTTGTTGGAATACCATTAAGATACGCATGCTAGCAGTTTAGATGTGAATTACGGAATGTATTTTTTTTGCCATGTTTGGATAAAAAGATACCTGGGCAATCGTGAAGGATAAATTACTGCCTTAAAAGGAATAAATGACAGGCATCACTGTAACCCGAGAAGAAGGTGACCTCTTGTGAAGTCCAACAGAAGCAGCATCACGTGCTAATATCGTGCTGTTGCCTAACTGCACGCTGTTAGCGATACGTGTTTTCTGATCTGCAGATGCACAGTGCTGCTATATTTATTTTATGGCATTTGAGATGCCAATCTATTTATAAAGGGACATTAAGGAATGCGTAAAATGAATGCTTCATTCAGTTTTTCAAAAGGAAAACAGTGCGACGCAACGTAAGTGTGTAATAGGGCCGAACGATGCGGAGTGAGTGCCTCTCAGCTCCTCTCTTGCCGTGGGCCCTGGGCATATGCCGTTCCTATTGCCCAAACACTGCTCCTACGTGCCTGCCCCCCCCCCAAGCCCCACTCTCTTTTCCACGTACAGGAATATACCCCCAAAATGGGAAAGAAGATGCAGGTGAGGCACCTAACCACCTCACTGCTATTTCACCCCGATTTTACGATAAATACTTCATTGTGTGTTTTTTTTTTTTATCATTTTACCCACTGGGCTTCCCTGTACACATCATCCAATCCTGTCCACTGTGGGAACTGGAGGTGAAGTGCAAGAATGGAAGTGGTATTGTGTGCCTTGGTTCCTTCCTTGGATACTGAAATCCATTCTTTAAAAAAAAACAAAACATATTTATTGATTTTTAGAGGGGAAGGGAGAGGGAGAGAGAAACGTTAATGATGAGAATCATTGATCAGCTGTCTCCTGCAGGCCCCACACTGGGGATGGAGCCCACAACCCGGGCATGTGCCCTGACCGGGAATCGAACTGTGACCTCCTGGTTCATAGGTTGTTGCTCAACCACTGAGCCACGCTGGCAGGGCCTGAAACCCACTCCTGCCACCAAGCCTTGTTGCACTGCACTCACGTTTGTGTCTAATATTCCGATACACGGACAGACCACATGCACTTACTTGGTTTCACGTGTGACAGGCCTCTGGGACTCTGGCCTTGTTTCTGATTTCGAGCCCACGCACCTGAGAGTTCCTGTACCATTTTCGCCTTATTTGTGTCTTTTTTTTTCCTAAAAGAAAAACATGCAATTTAGAGGATGTTTGTTAGGCATTTTCCTAACAAATATAATAAATGTTAAAAATAACACCATGTTAGGATGCTTGTTAGCTTGGGGAAGAGAGGGGCTTTCCAAGTATTACTCTGCACTTGTGTTATTGATTTATTTTTTAAGAGAGAGAGGAAGGGAGAGGGAGAGAAAGAGAGAAATATTGATGTGAGAATAAAACCAGGGAGTGAGCCAGCAACCTGGGCATGTGCCCTGACAGGGAATTGAACCCCCAGCCTTTCAGTGCATGGGACGACACCCAACCATTGAGCCACACCAGCCGGGACTGTGTTCTGCATTTTTGTCAGAAGAAGAGCTGCTATGCGGTTGCTACTCTGGGCTCCTCCTGGCCTTGGAGGCGATCTGAAGCCACGGGGCCCACATGTTCTCTTTGGAGGTCACAGGCCTGAGCAAAGGCCAGTCTCTCACACTCATTCTGTTTGTTCTTAACCTTCCTGACCCCTTAATGAGCTCCTTCGTGAATCAAAATAATAATCAGTCCGATCTGCATCACCCAGCTCGGCTGCAGGGAAGAATCCCACGTCTGCAGAAGTCAGAGACTGGGGGGGAGCTGGGTGCTGCCAAGGGCTGGCTGAGCCGAGAGGCTGGCTCTGGGCCTTGGCGTCTGGGATCCGTGCCCGGAGTGCAGATCGGCCCTCGGAGGCACAGCGCTGGCTGGGAGGGGGATCTGGGAGGAGGAATCTGGGAGGGGGCATCTGGGAGGGGGAT